GGAGGGAGAGGGAGAGAGAGACCAAAATTATTGGACTGCTGTGGTAAATAAGGATCTAATTGCAAGTGATCTTCTAGAGGATGTAGCAATGAACTGAAGAGAATTAACAACAACGATTCATATAGCCCATCCCAACTATAAGCATATAAGGCTTAGTTGTTGAGAAAGAAGGATGTTTTAAGAGAAGTAGCTGGAGAAGTATTGAGTCTGAGAATATCCTGAAACCTCAAATTATTTAAACTATTGAATCTAGCAAGTGTATGTGTTTAGCTTCCAATAAGTAAATGTGCTCGTCTAATGCTCAAAAGGTGAACTTTCTGCTTATATCATTCAAGCATGTTGTATAGGAAAATAAGCATAACGATATCAATTATCTATACAGAATACCAAAGCTATGATAGACTGACAAGTAAATAGATATTCAGTGACAAACCTTTCGTGAGGGTCCTGAGCCAGATCTTGCTGCAGTTGGAGGATTCATCTATTGACAAATCAAGAAAATATTTGCATGAATGAGGTTATTGAAAAAAGCAACATAACAAATTGGCGTTTGTGAATAAAATTGAATATATGAAGTAAAAAGGTGATAATTCTGAGAAGATAAACATATTCAAGAGCTTTCAGATAACTAAACTCCAAGTACTATAGCATGAGAGATTTAAATTCACTATTATATTGCAGATTCAAAGATTAGCTTGCGATTTAAAGCTGTCTCTAGAGAAGTCCAGGCCTTCAGTTAGATAACATCTTGACAAGAGACTAAAAGAAGACCCACACTGCTAAAACAAGCATGTAAAATTCATTAGAATAACATGATTTTGAAACCTCAATGGAAGGGCCAATATATCTAGAGACTAGAATGTTGAATATTTTCTGTACTTGAAGCAAAAGAAGAGAACGCGGCTTGAAATAATAAAGAAGTGATGAGAGCATACTTCATCAAACTTCATAAAATTTTGGGTATCCAGCTCCCCATTAACCTCTGGTTTAAATGCTGCTTCCATTTCATATAGCTTTTCCCATACTATATCCTTGAACCAAGGATGAGCCTGATACACATTCACTACTATGAAAATGAGTTTGAATTCATGTGTGTGTGTGTGTGTGTGTGTGTGTGTGTGTGAGAGAGAGAGAGAGAGAGACTAAATGATACTAATTCACAAAAAATTGTACCTTGATTTGGTCTGCTCCTCCAGTACCAAGCCTATGTTC